ATCACTGCCTGTCCATCACTGCCTGTAGTGTCCACTACTGTCTGTCCATCCCTGCCTGTCCATCACTGCCTGTCCATCACTGTCTGTCCACCACTGCCTGTCCATCACTGCCTGTCCATCACTGTCTGTCCACCACTGCCTGTCCATCACTGCCTCTACCACTGCGTCCATCACTGCTTGTCCATCACTGCCTGTCCATCACTGCTTGTCCATCACTGCCTCTACCACTGCGTCCATCACTGCCTGTCCATCACTGCCTGTCCATCACTGCCTGTCCATCACTGCCTGTCCACTGCTCCCTGGTCAAAATGTTATTACATGTATAAATTGACCAGTCGTGTTAATCTGAACTCATGGGAATTAGGGCATACGTGTCCATGCTGAAAAAAATGCTCCTGAAAGCGTCATTTGCAAACACAGTCTAGGGGTAGAAATTAACTTTTGTCAGAACACGGGAGTCGAACGGACTCCCTACCCTCAAAAAGAGGGAGTCCGCAGCAAAATGATGGAGTCCGCAGTCTGAAGTTCAAAATTAAAGATATTAACAATAATGCATGTGCTTATTTTGAAGATTCATGCAGTTGCACGTCAGCCAAATTTTCTTTGCACATTTGCTGAAAAAATATGGTAATTCCGCGAGGCCGTGCTCTGGAACGAACTAGTTTAAGTTAGTATTATAGTATGGCAGAATTTCAGCGAGTGACACGGACTCCTGCATATATGTCAACTCAGGGAGTCCGACAGTAAATCAGGGAGAATTTGACTCCGAACCCGCGTTAATATTTTACCCCTGCGAGTCTGTGTTTGTGTTAACCACTTGCTTCTCTCTTGCTCTTGCAGCCGAGTTCATCATCATGATTGCTGAGAAGAGTGACTCAATTGAAACATTTAAGGCAGCCTTGGACGAGAACGGGGCAGAATTCCCTGTGAGTGTTTTGATGGCTCTGCCTCTCTGTCTGCCCACCTGCCTGTATGTCTGGTTGTATCTCTGTGGTCTTTGACATGTGTAATTACCTCCGCGCAACGGAGGTCATGTAATCGGTCTCGTGTGTGTGTTCGTGTGTGTGTGTGTAGCGTTGGCGCGATCGATTCAGCAGCAGCTCGCCTTAGGGCGTCCAGTCAGCAGCAGCCAGCAGCGAGCCAGCAGTTATACACATACATGTTACACGCTCGCGGAGGTATGCACTCTCCGTGAGTGCCCTCTGTCTAGTTATTAATGTAACAAACATTCTTGGATGAGAACGGGGGAGAATTTCCCGTGAGTATTCTGACAGGTTAGAAAAAATGTCAATGGGTTATAAAAATGTCAAACTCAAGACACGTGATGCATCCCACTCTGGCTCTCTGTCTGTCTGTCTGTCTGTCTGTCTGTATGTCTAATAGTCTATCCTTATGTTGGGTGGATTAATATGTGCCTTCCGAAGTTCGTTGTTCTTTTTGATATATGTAAATTTTATATTCTGGTAAGGGCTTGATGCTATATAGTTATTGCCATTATTACCTAACTTCTACATATTTTTTATGGCAAATCTACCACTTGTGAAATGCTCGCAAAATCAATATATGATTTGCTGCATGCATACTTCCTCCCCATGAGTTTGAAACATCATGTTTTGCACGTTTTTAGGAGTCATTCACAGCCAACTTGTTGAGGCTTATTCAGCGAATGAAACCGAAGAAATCGTCAAATGGCGACGATCTGAGCGCGTGGGATAAAGAAGAGAGTACCGACGAGGAGAAAGAGGATATGATGAAGAAATACCCGGGCCTCTGCCTTCCAAACGACACCAGTAATCGGGTAGGCTGGAAATGGAATTTGTATCTTATTACATCGTACTATCTTTGTATCTTTGTATCTTATCTTATCATTTGTATCTTATTACATCGTATTATCTTTGTATCTTATTATCTTATCATTTGTATTTTATTGTATCGTATTATCTTTGTATCTTTGTATCTTATCTTATCATTTGTATCTTATTATCTTATCATTTGTATCTTATTATCTTATCATTTGTATCTTATTGTATCGTATTATGATGTTGTATGTATTTGTATCATAACTCTCACAAAAGGTTTAAATAACCCTAATATATTTAGTTGATTGATTAGTTGCTCGCAGAGATCGTTACTGTGGCGTGCGTGCAGGAAATGTGGAATATTAGTTTCTTCCCACTACCCATACAGAATGCATACTGTGTTGAAGCAGCTGAGTTCTCATGGCTGAATACAGAATGTTCGCTGTAGTGATGTCACGATCATCGATTATACTCGATCATCGGTTGAACAGTGGCTCGAACCAAGCGCTTGGTTATCAAAATCCATAATCAATTTCATCAAAAAAACATTTTTTTTTTTTTAAATTTGAACAAGAAAACTTAGAAAAGTGATGAGAATCGGTACATGTATTATACACAATGTAGTAAACAGTGCAAAACAAACAGTAAACAGGGCTAAACAAGCACATACATGCACACACGTACATGCACACGACGTTACGCACACGCAGGCATTCAACACCCCGAGTAACCGATTGTAACCGATCATCGGTTACTTGGGTCCAACCGATGATCGATTACGAAATTACAACCAATTGACAACACTAGTTCGCTGGAAGTTTTGATTAGATGACGTATGTTATAGAGTTGATGACATTTTGACGATGCATTACAGGGGTAGAAATTAGTTTTGAAAATTTACAGGCCCATATCATTCCCCGGATCCCGCAGCATTTAAAAAAAATAAAAAATGTTTACAATGGTTTATTTACAATAATACAAAGAACATACAAGAACTTTTCATCCTCGCTGGCGTGTCGGGGACGGTTTTGCATACTGGGGATGGATTTTTAACTGGCCCGTCATTACTTTTCAGACGATGCTGAATGATGAACTCGTAAAGCTAAAGGATGTCAAAGTTGCGGAGGATGCAATGGATGAGCTGGAAGCCCTCATGAAGCCAGGTTCTATCATTAAGTAAGTGAAACACTTGTGATAAGAAGCTCACAAGAGTTTTCGTTTATAGCGCTCCCGATTTTCGTACGTAATTTGTCATTGTAATTTGTAATTTGTCATCATTGTAATTTGTAATTTGTAATTTGTCATGTTAATTTGTAATTTGTCATGTAATTTGTCACACTTACATAGCTTTCGTAGTCGTAGAGTTAGACGGAAATTTTGCCGGTGATTATGCCCGATATTTATCTATGTGCTGTGAAATAGAAAGATGCTATACATGCACATATGCACGCACATGCACAGATAATTTTACACCATGGTGAACAATCGCAGTCAGGGGCTCGTTGTCAGAATCAAAATTAGTCTATGGTCAGTCTTAAAATTAACTGTCTCGTAGACCGTCGTCAGAAACGTGGTATGATGTTATGAACGATGATATGAGTTTCTCGTATGCAGTGTATGATAGAGGTCGAGTATACGAGTCAAAGTTAATGTTAGCACTAATCTTAAGACTAACATTGTTTCTAATAGTAAGCCCCTGTTTTTCGCGCCCAAGGCTCGCGTAAACTTGCCAAGCGGCGGGACAGATAAACGAACGAAAGATAACCCTACCCCTCCACCCAGCCTCCCACGCGACACGACTTTGTGTGTCCAACAAAGTCAACGCCTTCACTTCCACAACTTCGTTTCGCAGGACCGAAGCGCCGCCAGAGAGCGCAAAAACACAACACACCGACGGCGACGTACGGCCTCGCAGCGACACCAGGCGGCGCTCCCGATCCCGCGACCGCGAGACGCGCCGCCGCCGCCATCATCGCTCCTCGCGCTCGCGCTCGCGCAGCCCTCCTCCTCCGCGCACCCGCGAACGCTCGACCTCCCCGCGCCGCCGCCACCGCCAGAGGAGACGAACGCGGAGCCGGTCGCGCGACAGAGACACCCGCCGACGCCGTAGCCGGTCCGGCGACCGCCGCCGCTCATCGCCGCGGCAACGCGACCGCTCCGTCGAGCGCGCGCCTCCGCCGCCGGCGCCGCCGCCGCCGCAGTCGGACGAGCCGGCGGTGGGTCGCGTTTACGACGGTCGCGTGACGAGCGTCATGCAGTTTGGTTGCTTCGTGCAGCTCGACGGGGCGTCGTCGCGGCAACGCGGCGGCGGCGGCGGCGGCGGGGGTGGGGGGCAGCGGCGGTGCGAGGGGCTCGTGCACGTGTCTCAGCTGAGACGCGAGGGTCGCGTGACGGACGTGTCCGACGTCGTGGCGCGAGGCCAGCGAGTCAAGGTAAGAGCTTGCTTTTATCAACTTTTACGTTTACACTGCCGATTGTCGGTTGTATAATTGCGAAATTGCTCAAATTCGCCAATTTGACAAGGTGCTGTAGAATTGTAGTGTGTACAGTACCCAGTGAGAGTTGGCAAGGGAGGCTTACATCGAAGATTTATAGTTTTATATTATAAATAAATAAATAAATATATATATATATATATATATATGGATTGATGGATGGACAGATAGATGGATATCCCTGTCACCATACAACACCCATGTTGCACTAGTACTGTAGCGTTTCGAACGCTGTTGGTGCGTGTTGTATCAAACGTGTCTGTATCACTAGCTCAAGGTTATAACTAGTTTAGGTTTATACTACAGTGTACTAGGGTTATAAAATTGACAACGACTGACTTTCGATTATAATCGATCATCTGGACAGTACTAATATTTGTACCTATACATCAGGGTAAAAAATACACGGGAGCGATGAGCGATACGCTTTTCAAACCTCGCTCAAAAATCGCTCCCGTGAGGCTCAAAATAGCTCCCGTAAAATTTTTGATGAGAGATATTTCCCCCACAGACGTTTGAAAAAAAGCTCCTGTGAAAAAAAGTTATTTGTTCCCTGCCACTGCCTCACACATTATAGCGCAATGCACGATGCCGCAGAGGACGCTACAACATCCTTCCCTTTCGAAAAATTTTCCCCTGCATCTATACGTATCTCTACATGTGACTAGGTCAAGGTGCTCGCAATCAACGGCCAGAAGATGAGCCTCTCTATGAAGGACGTCGACCAGGAAAGCGGGGAGGACTTGAACCCGATGTCCGGGGTGCGGCTGACGGGAGCGAACGCCGTCGAGCAGGCGGGGGAGGGGACGACGCGGAACCCGGATCGTCCGACGACGGCCGCGCCGCTCGTCAGGAACGTTCCGGAGCAGGACGCCGCGCAGCTGAAGAAGGTGCAGCGCATCTCGTCGCCGGAGCGATGGGAGTTGAAGCAGGTACGTGGAGGGGGGGGAAGCATGCGTTGCTTGTTGTTGTTGTTGTTGTTGTTGTAGTTGTTGTTGTTGTTATTATTAATAACGTCGCCCGGACGATGGGATCTGAAGCAGGTGGGTGGTGGGTGGGTGTGGGTGGTGGGTCGGTGGGTGTGGGTGGGTGGTGGGGGAGGCTTGTTTTACTTACTTGTTATTATTATTGTTTTAGTATTAGTATTGTTATTGTTGATATTATTATTATTATTATTATTATATAGCTGAAGCAGGTGCGTGGAGGGAAGCTTGCGTTGCTTGTTATTGTTGTTGTTGTTGTTGTTGTTGTTGTTGTTGTTGTTGTTGTTGTTGTTGTTGTTGTTGTCGTTGTTGTTTTTGTTGTTGTTATTATTAATAACGTTGCCCGGGGCAAGATGGCGAACTAACAACACGTGTGTAAGGTGGCTCCTACGTTCTTCAACTCTTTGTGACTGAAAATTATACTTACAAGCGCATACTATGAGTGTAAGACATAGTCGAGCAAACAGAGCATCTATTAAAAAATATTTCACGCGCTCAGAATCCTGCGAATTGTCAACGGAGAAAATATCTACACCCGTGTCAGAAAAACAGCTCTCGAAACCTGTCATGGCGACCGAAAAAGTGACCAACGCTGAACTGCATAAACTGCTTAAAAGCATAGATTCGAGGATGGAGCAGGGGTTCAAAACACTGACTGACAAGTTCGACAGTTTAGAGTTTGAAGTAGGAGAATTGAAAGACGGACAGGCGAAGGATCGGGATGACATTGCAAAATTAGAAAACGACATGGCGGAGTTGAAACGGTCCCTACTTACTAGCCAAGTACATGGTCGCAAATACCATCTGCTTATTTATGGTGTTAAAGGATATGAAACTGCGCCGGAGTTAACCATCGAAGTGGTGCAGGACTTTGCAAGTAACTCACTAAAACTCGATGACAAGTTTTCACGTGAAATGTGCATTAGAAATGCGCACCGACTGCGACGGCAAAATGACAGACCCACCGCCATTATTGTGGTTATCGTATATTGGGCAGAACGCAAAGCTTTTTTGCGAGCGGCCAAATATTTGAAGGATACCCCAATGAGTGTTCGAACCGACCTCCCTCCCCAGTTAAAACAGTACAGGGGAAAACTAGCAAGCGAGGCATATGAACTACGACAACAGGGACTACAGGCAAGAGTTCGCGAGAGAGGGCCTGATCCGTGGGTGAAGCGCGTCGATTGAGGACGAACTCGATGTTGAAGCTAAATACACTATAGGTGTGAGTAGTACTGTTTAAATTACCCCTGGACGAACCATGACGAAGAACACAAATATAACTTAAACTATACACTTATAGCAATAGTGGCAATACGCGATATTGATGTATAGTAGTTCTCAGTGTTTACAAAAAGTGGTTAACCAGTTGCATTATATAGTATATTCTGTGTAGTAATAATATGAGTAATTTCAATTATAACTTACGATATTCAATTACACAAAGGAATGGATAACACCACCGTTGCTACTCATTTGTACACTTGTATACTATTATACTGTATATCATATTCTGTATGGTACTACGTGACCTGTCAAACAGCTGCCACCTTTGTCCTATGTAGTCAGCTGATAACAGGTGTGACTAGATCTACAGTACATGTACATATGCGTATATGTCATCCTACTCTTGACGACTGTTCTAAGGTACGTGAGGATGACATTTTCTATAAACCCTGCCGCCGTGCGACTATATGTGTATAATTTTTTATTTATTTGAGACGTGCTATGGATGCCGAAAGTTGTATTATTATCTTTTTGATTCCGAATACAGTGGTGTGCAGCCTAGTCTAGTCAGTACTAAATCATACATGTAGTTTACTGTATACACATGGCAGACCACCAGTCTCTTGGACCTGTGTGTAACTATAACCCGTGTACTGAAGCAGTGAGGATCGCTATAATAATGAGTGTGCGATAACGTTGCTAAAGCTAAACATAGTATACTGTCGAGATCTATTGTATATGGAAGGTATTCTACACACAGCAATTAAAAAAATAAATAAAAAATAATATATATATGTATATATAACATATAATTTGTGTACGATAGACTAAGTAATTAAGGAGCCACCCCCACACTAATACCACGCTAAGCCTCAATGGCTACCAAACCAGGTAGTTTATTTCTATATGTTGTTTGTAACGTGAACATTGTTCTTCTGAGCAAGACTGTGGTATATCCACAAAGGGGTCATGTATCAGAGGTTGTGTCAGATGTTCATGTCTGTCTTTATCCATGTGTTGTC